TTTTTTTTTAAAGAAAAAGAGATGGGGTCTTTCTATTTTGCCCAGGCCAGCCCCAAACTCCTGGGCTCAAGCGACCCTCCCACCTCTGTCTCCTGAGGAGCTGGGATTGCAGATGTGTGCCAACATGCCTGACTTCATTGCCTTTTAGCCTGGGAAAGGTCAGGTGGGTCTACTTTTCTTTAGCCAGGTATGACTTGTTTGCTTCCTGAGCTCAAATCCACCCCTTGGGACTTCCTTGCCATCACGGAGATGCCAAAACTATATTCAAGGCTTTGAGGGCCTTTCCACACATCCTGAGATGTGGCTGTGTGGGTGGAGTCAAGTCTACAGCACCTGAGGGATTGCACTCCCTCCTCTCCCATGCTGGGTCGAGTGCCAGGACACCCAGGGAGGGCGGCAGGAGCCTGCAGGGCCTGGGGTCCTTTGCTCCCTTGGCAGTGCTGTGCTGCTGCTCTGTCCTGGGAGCCTGGGGAAGGGCACTTGCCTCCATTCTTTCTTTTCTGTTCCTCTTCAGCTTCCTTCTGAATTTCCTCAATAAGCTTCTCATCATCTTCCTAAAACGCAAGCAACAAGAAGGATGAGCCTGTAGCTCCACGCAGTGCCGAGACCCCGTGAGGGGGGACCACCTGCTGCTGGTGGCCATGGAAAAAGCCTGATGTTGGCCAGCGGAGCCTGAGCTGTACACCGTTTCTTCCCATTTCCCTGAGTGCCCCCTTCCTTCATCAGCCTGATGGTGTTCTATAAGGAGGCCATCCACAAGGCTGGGCACAGGGGTCTGAGCATGGTAGGCAGCTGCCTGGTGGGGTGAAGGGTGGAGGGCCCCCATGTACTGGGTGGAGAAGGGTTTGAAGAGGGCTGGGTCTGAGTGGCCAGAGCCCAAAAAGTTTCAAATCCCAAGTCCACAAGCACTGGACATGGCAGCTTGTCTGCAGAGCCTGGGGAAGTCTTGCCAATATCCTCAACTGAGGTGGACAAATGTCCAGCAGGGCCCTGCCAAGACCCAAGGCTGGCCTTGATTCCTGGGCCAGGCCTTGAGGATAGGGGGAAGGCATGGCAGTGAGGACGGTCTCCCCCTGACCTTGCCGCCTCTTCTCCCAAGCTCCATGCTTGGTAGGTCTAAAATGACAAAACACAATTCTCACTTGGATTATCCTAGCCTCAGACAGGAACTGAAGAAGCACTGTGAGTGCAGGCAGATGTGGGAGCTGCACTGGGCAACTTAGGGGCTACCCTGGGCAAGCTCCAGAGGCTGGGTTTGTGTCACGTGCAGCTCTCACGTCCCCACCTGCCAGCAGACACCATGGTGGGAGGACCGGTCTGCTGTCCCAGGACAGACCAGCCACAAAGCCTGCTTCTTGAGTGGCGCTGGCATTAACCCCCTCCTCAGTGACCCACAAAGCACTGATGAGTTTGGACTAAAAGGTCTCATAAGCTCCTTCGTGGGACTGAAAGAAGACTCAGTGGATTGAAAAAACCCACCAAGTGGGTGCCCATCTTTCCTGGCTGGCTGCAGGGCTGTGGGTCTAAGCGGTAGCCCTGAGACGGCTGAGGCTCACAAGCAACAGAGTGGGAACACTGTGGCAAACTCCAAACACACCAACTGCCGGCTCAGCCCATGGGAAAGAGAGAGCTAAGTATAGGAGGGGCTCTGTTCCCTGGGGTCCTCCAGGAGGTAAGGGCAGCTGAGCTGGGGAGAAGGATGGGAAGGGATGGTGGTCCCTGATATCATGAATTAGCAAGTCCCAAGAACACAAGCAGTCTAATGAAAGTACATTTATTTTTCCAGACACAGTTTCAGAGTCTAACCATCTGGCCAATTTCTTTGCTTTGGGATGGAACATTAATGATAACTTCAGATTTTTCATGCTGATCTGAAGACACCCAGAGCAGCAACTGGAAGGAACACAATCCTTGGCCCGGTAGAAGATGGGCAGCCCCATTGAGGGCTGAGCAATGGAGTTTGCAGATTTACTTACTAGGTTATTAATGTCACAGCCAAGACAGAAATGAGTGGTTTCCCCCACGATTGTTTGTGAACCTCAAGGATTCTGGAGTCAGGAATTTCCTTCACTAAACTTGCACTGAATGCCTACTCTGTGCTTGACACTGTTCTAAGTTTACTGATTAAACTTCAGAGCAACAATGAAACAGAAAGGCAGGTGGAATGAGTAAGTAATTAGGTAACACATTCCCTTGGTTTGGTAGATGAAAAATTCTTAGAATAGAGCCCCCGGAGACTGGCTCTGTCAGCAACAGTGGACAACACGATTCAATTCTCCTACATTCTCCAGGCCTTAGATGCCAAGCAATAAGTTTGAACTAAAAGGTCTCATAAGCTAATTTCCAACTCTGACACTTGGACATTCTTATCAGATAAGATACTCAAGTCTGTTTTCGGCAGAAGCAGCCTCCCCCAGACAGGTGTTCTGAGCAAGGCATGGGGAGAGGAGAGGAGACAAAGGTCAAGTTCCCGTCATGCATTTCAAGATTTGCAAAGTGCCCAAACACACCATAGAATCCTGTATCTGGGATGAATCCTGAGGGAGCTATGTCTCTCTCCTGGGTAACACGTAAGAATTCTCTATAAAAACCCCAAGACGCAGTCGTCTAGGCTCTTTGTGAACACTCCACAAGGGAAAACTTACTACCCTTGACATAATCACTAAGGGAGTCAACACTGATGGCTCCAGGAACTCAAGAGGGTTTGGTGGGCAGTTTGAAGGCCTCCATGTGAATATCAAGATAGATTCTATCAACTGTCTAGACTGGGAGTTGGCAAGCCTCTTCATTTTGGAGCCAGTGGCAGGCCTAGGAAAAAAGATGAAAAAAAAAAAAGAAAAAAAAACAAGGCTGGGTGAAGGTGGCTCATGCCTGTAATCCCAGTACTTTGGGAGGCTGAGGTGGGTGGATCACTTGAGGTTGGGAGTTTGAGATCTATCTCTACTAAAAACAAAAAATTAGCCGGGCGTGGTGGTGGCACATGCCTGTAATCCCAGCTACTTGGGAGGCAGAGGCAGGAGAATCGCTTGAACCTGGGAGGCAGAGGTTGTGGTAAGCCGAGATCCTGCCATTGCACCCCAGCCTGGACAAGAGTGAAACACAGTCTCGAAACAAACAACAAAACCCCCAACAATTAAGGGAAGTGATCCAGAAAACTGGTGGGAGGATCACTTGAGCCCAGGAGTTTGAGACCAGCCTGGGCAACAAAGTAAGATCCCATCTCTACAAAAAACACAAAAATTAGCCAGGCATGGTGGTGTGAGCCTGTAGTCCTAGCTATTTGGGAGTGACTGTGCCACTGCACTCTTACCTGGGCCACAGAGTAAGAACCTGAGTCCAAAGAAAAGAAAAAGAGCTGTGGGCCTATACCTCTAAGTGAGCTTGGCAGGTTCCTGAGTATCTCTCCATCTAGGCAGCTCATCCATAAATGGGCTGTTTTGTTAAGGATTGAATGATACCAAGTATGTAAGGGACGTAGCCCAAAGTAAACATTATTAGGAGACAGGAAAACTGTGAAAAATTGCAGGTATAGAGTTTTTTTTTTTGAGACAGAGTCTCACTCCGTCACCAGGCGCCAGGCTGGAGTGCAGTGGTACCACCTCGGCTCATTGCAACCTCCACCTCCTGGGTTCAAGCAATTCTCCTGCCTCAGCCTCCCGAGTAGCTGGGACTACAGGTGTGTGCCACCACGCCCAGCTAATTTTTTTGTGTTTTTAGTAAGACGGGGTTTCATCATATTGGCCAGGATGGTCTTGATCTCTTGACCACGTGATCTGCCCGCCTCGGCCTCCCAAAGTGCTGGGATTACAGGCGTGAGCCACTGCGCCCGGCTGGTATAGTTTTTAAGTTGAGAAGTTTCATGAAGAAGTGGTACACATTGGGAAACACCCACAGTGTTTCTTTCAGGGGTCCTGACTCTGGTCCGTTACTAATCACAACCAACAGGAGTGCACCACTACCACTCTGCCTCACCCCGACCTCTGTTGCATTCTCTCGATGCAGTTACGCCATCAGGCCCAGAGGGACACTTAAGGCCTTCAATGGCACAAGGAGGTACCTTAGGAATCATTTATTCCAACCTATTTATCACAGAAACTGAGGTCCCTGGGAAAGTACCTTGTTCAATGTTATGGCTAGCTGGCGGTGAACTGGGACAAATGCACATACTGGACCACTCAATGGTCCTCCTGGAAGAAATCCACAGAAAAGATATCCTGAAGGCATCCCTTCCTTATACAGAGCACCCACACCAGTCAGGACCATGCTGGACGCTGTAGACACAGTGAGAAGTGGGCAGCCCAGGCCCTCCTCATGAGGGCCTCACATCTGTGCTATGAGCACCATTCTAGCTGGCACCCCTCTCTGGAATTCCACGTGGGTAGAAGGGGTAATTTCACAGCATTAAAGACTAACCGCTAACCCCCTCTTTTCCTCAGGCTCACCCCTGACATTTCTGTCAGGATAAACAAAACAAGAGGGAAAAGAGGCTCTCCTTTTGGAGCAAAGAGTCCTGGCCCCTTGTGGAACTGCTGAAGCTGAGAGCATGCAGGCCACCGCCAGATTTTTATCACTAAGCTTCCCGTGATACGTCTGAGCACTCCTGAATAAATCCTATTTCAGAACTACCTCAGGAGGGTCTGAGGCACCTGCACAGGAGCGTGAGCCCAGGTTTCTGATACAGATTGGCTGGGTCTGGAGGACAGTGCAGAAAGAACCTTCCCAGCCTGCCATTCACAGTTCTTACTGGAGAGAAAGAGGGAGCCTCAGAGTCCCAAGGAAATGAAAGTGTCGCGTCCTTACCCTCCAAAGACAGTCACCCAGGAGCTTTTCTTCCGATCCCTCCCTCTGCTCTGATCACTCTCCTGATTGGCAAGTGGAATCAAGACCGTTTGTCCTTGTAAGCCCTGTCTTGGGAGTCAAGCCCTTGGAGCCTAAAGACAGTCTGGTTTGCATTTCACCCAAAATGGTGGCACTCAGCTATGATGACCTATGATTTTACCATAAATCATGAGCCAACTCACAGTTATACCTACAATATGGGTTAGATGTTTCAGATGTCAACTGTCTCCAACTGGCTGGAGTCACAGGGCACTGCTTAGAAACTTTAATAAAAATTCAAGGTGGAAAAACAAAAAAACAAAAAAAAATTCAAGGTTTAAAAAAAAAATTACAATTTTAGCTAGTATGTTAGACTCTAAGGGGAAGCTTTCTTTCCTTTTTTTTGAGACAGTGTCTTGCTCTGTTGTTCAGGCTGGAATGCAGTGGTGTCATTATAACTTACTGCAGCCTCCACCTCCTGGGCTCAAGTGATCCTCCTGCCTTAGCCTCTTGGTAGCTCAGACTACAGGCGCCCACCACCACATCTGGCTAATTTTGTGTTTTTTGTAGAGATGGGGTTCCACCATGTTGCTCAGGCTAGGCTTGAACTCCTGGGCTCAAGCAATCTGCCCAACCTTGGTCTCTCCAAAATGCTGAGATTATAGGCATAAGCCACTATACCCAGCCAGAAGCTTTCTTTCTTAATATGGGGTGGAAGTTACTTCCACAAGCAGTT